CTTCCCCAGCTGTTCCGCCGTACCTCAACGAGCCTGCGCAATGGGCGCTCGTCAAGTGTAGGAGACCAATAGCGCGCCCGCACTGGCGAACCGGGAGAGAGCGAGAGACAACGCACACAGCGAGAGGGGGAGCGAGAGAGCGAGAGACAGTCAGAGCAGACGGGATGAAGCAGGAGCACACTAACGGTTTCCTCCGGTAAACAAGCGGAGCAGGAGCCTGGAAATCACCGGCGGACAGCGGAGGGGGGGATTTCGGGGACACAGCCATGGCGACGGGGGGAGGAGGAGTGAGGCGGAGGAGGAAAGCGGGGCTCCCGGGATTCTGCTGGAAGACCTGCTACTTTCCCATTTTGTTCTGGGTGGTTTCGGTCTGCGGGGAGGAGAAGACTCTGATTGTGGAGGTAGGAGACCCCCCCGGGGTTAATGAGGAGGAGGGTGAGGGTTGTTTATGTGTCTCTATCTGCATCCCCCCCCTCTTCTCTGGATGTACAGGAATGAACGCCCCCCTCCTCTTTTTACTCCATCAGTTTAATTCCGGTCCGTCTTTAACGCGCGCAGGTTCGTGCGCTCCTCGGGATGTTTTCATGCTCTGTGTTTATCCTCCCTCTCTCTCTACCTCTCTCTCTCTCCCTCTCTCCCTCCCTCTTCCCGCCTTCCCCCTACAACGAAAGTGATACCCACCCTTCCTGTAAGGAGGGACAGGGAAATAAAAGATTCACGAGTTGCTGAAGTGGATGCATTAAAGCGGATCAACGAGCGCGCGGCGCTGGATGAGTCCTCGCGCTGCTCTTTTGTTTTCAGGCGCCCGGACTGCGCGCGCACCGAGCGGCTCCGTGCACGCAGACAAAGGTGCTTTAATTGCTCGTCAGGTTTAATTGTTTCCGCGTGCTCATTGGCTGAGAGAGAGAGAGAGAGAGAGAGAGAGAGAGAGAGAGAGAGCCATACAGCCTCATTAGCAGCGGCCTCAGCGCACCGTGCACGGCTCATTTACAGGCTTCTGTTGTGTCCAATGGGAAGAATGGGCACAACCAGTGTGCACGTGCAGCTGATTTCGCGCGGTGTGTGTGTAACGAGCTCTCAGCCCGCGTTGTCAATAAAAAGCCTTCAGCACGCAGAGAGCGTTAAAGTGGAGCTGAATGAGTGCGCTGCTTTCATGTGTGCGCTGAACAAAGCATCTCCAGATCACCCCCCCCCCACCCTCTCTCCATCACCCTCTCCCTCCACTGAGTCCAAATATAGCCTCCCTCCATAATTTATGGAAATGGCAGCGAGTTGGAGGAGAGGAGGAGAGATGGGAAGAGGTGCAGACAGATGTTCTTTTTGCTCCTGATGTGGCTGCTGCTGCCACACGCAGACAGATGTTGGGAGGAAGTTCTTTGTTGATGTGAGAGGTGGAAGTGTTGTTGATGATGAAGTGATGCTCCCAGAGGGCTGCTGCTCTGTTTGCTGAATATGAACGACACCTTGTTTGGAAATCCACCGCTCACCTGTGGGAGCCGTGATCAGTGGCGTTTGTTTTTGGTGACACTTCCATTCAGACAAAGGAAGTTCCCTGCGGCTGCGCCGAGCGGCTGCTGACGGCCGGGTTGTGCCACGGTGCTCATACAAAGGACGAGATGTTTTCACCGAGCCGGAGGAATCCTAATCCTCCTCAAAGCCACTGTTGGTACATGTTAATGTGGCCTCACATCAATGTACTGTACACACAATGCCACAGTGACAGTGTTCCAGAAGAGACAGTGAAAACCACGCTGATCCTTCAATTTACTGGAAAATAAAACATCAGAGAAGTATTCATAATCAGGAATAACTTGTGATTCATTTCAGTATCGATTCGTTTCAGTCAGAACCAGTGAAAAATGCCAAAGAGTCAACGGCCAGAAACCCAAAGATATTCAGTCACATAAGACAAAGAAAATCAGCAAATCCTCACAATTCAGAAGCTGGAACAAGGGAATGACTGATTATTAATCCCTTATCAATAACTTTGGAAGCTCTGCTTGCACTCGTGATCATTTTATGAGAAGAAAGCAATTTTCAAAGAGGTGACTCTTTTATTTTGGAAGCTAAAATCAGAATCTGCCCCCGTACATAAACAGAAACATGGTAAACACGGCGTCATGAGCTGAATGTTCTCAGGTTTAAGTTCTGATCAGCTTATCAATTCATTTAGTGTGTTCTAACATTGATTCTGGGAGCAAAGTGGAGCAAATCCAGGTTTTTATGTGAAAAGGGTGTGAAAGTAGCTCCTGTCTGTCTCTTGCAAATGCCATGTGATGTTTTCAACAAAGCTTCTCCTGTGAAGTCACAGCCAACCAATCAGAAGGCCTCACAGCATCCAGGGTTTCTTTGTGTGCGCGGCCTCGTGTTCCATGTGAGACGGTAGATGATGTGTACTGTAGATCTCCTCATCGGGGTCCTGCGTTCTTGAATTAAAAGTTCAGTGTGCCTTGACGGTGTTGAAAACAGCTAAAAATGGTGATTTCAGCGAGGACGAGGGTCCTGCTGTCGATATTAATGCACACTGTTAATGAAAGGCTCCCCTCTTGGTGATCGTGGGCTGTCACTGCCACAGGTTTGGTGCACAGGTTGTCTGCCAGCTGCCGGCCTTGTTGTGTGGATAAAATCTGTTTGTGCCACAGGGATGCTCTGGTTACTTTCCTCTCCTCCGTGTATTCGATTGTTGACACGCTGTACGTCTCTGTGTGTGTTTTAACTCTTCGTTGCAGTGCCGATACAGGCCTTGATGTTTTCTGTGAAGCTGCATGAAAACATGTTTTGATCCATGTGCCACTGTCATATTTATGTATTTATTTGCTCCTCCTGGTGGTGCACATCATGTTAAAGCCTGAAAAGGGTTTGATGCCGGGCTGTAATGAGGTCTGTAACTATGAGGTTTTTCCCGTCGGTCCCTGTGATGTCCGCAGAGCCACACACTGTGATGACTGATTCAGACACATTGTTTGTGCCGTGTTACACATGTTGCAAGGTGTTCTATACAGTGGCCTGGTGAATGAACACTTTAAGCTTCGGATGTGTTTGGACGCACTGAATCCTTTACAGTTAGTGTTGTTTTCTCAGCTAGCATGTTGAAGATACTGAGTTATTTTCAGCATTGAGAATACTATATAAAGTATTTTCAGCCCCTAAACCAGGTCTTTTTTTTATCGCTGAGGCAAATTTGAACTTGAAATTAAACAATATGTTAACAGATTTAACACTAAATAACAATTACAGTAGTGGCAGTGATGTCTGTAACCTCCGCACCAGAGAGCGGACGTTCGACGGCTCTGGTACTGAAACGAGGCACCGACATCCGTGTGGTGATTCGGTCCAAATTTACAACAGTGGACAATTATTTCAGCGCTTATCGCATCTTCCGAGTTCACCTTTCAACAGCGTTTTCATTGCATTCATTTGCTAAGCCTGTGACGCTAGCCATGTCAACAACACATTGATTGATTGACGCTGACAAATAACTGTTGAATTCAGTGTTTGTGTTTTTATATTGTAATAATGAGTAAGTAAGGGTCCCCCCCGCCCCCGCTGTTGTTCCTCGTGTAGCGTATGTTAGCAGCAGGGGGGTCTTTCACTCTGTTTTCTTGTTGACATCAGCTCAGTGTTTTGTTTCACCAGAAGTGTGTCAGTCGTCCATCAGCGCCACGCTCAAGCATGAAACATTATATGTCAGCCGCCCACCTCACCTTCAGGTTGTTGCAGAGACACAGAGACACGGGGTTCTGCTTTCTCAGCCTATAATCACAGAGGGAAGATGCAGCTGAGGAGCGAGGCTGGCGCAGTGAAAACAGATGGTTGGTTAGCCGACCAGCAGAGACAGCGGAGGGAGAAGGAGGCGTTGAGCTCTTTGTCTGACTCACTGGTCCGTGCTCCTTTGTCTGTTTGCCTGTTTACACAATAGGTCAGATTTCTGTGGTCAGAACCTCCTAATGCTGTTTTGGAAGGAATATTTTTGGCCAGCAGGTTGAGACAACTGTTGTGTGGGCTGTAGCTGTTGTTCAGTTGCCTTTCAGTGCAGATTGCTTGTTAAACGGAAGATTCGCTGACTCTCCTAATGCAGTTAAATGATTGATTCATTGATTGGTTGATAGGTAAAGAATGGCAGTGTTTATAGATCACAAACGGAGTGACGGAGTGGTGTTGACGGTGTTTGACGGATCATCGAGCTCTTTTGTTGATGAGGTTTATAAGAAGAGTCTTTGATTTATGGCTGTTCTGATGCTGGCTGCGTTATGTGGCCAAACACTTTCATTTCTTTCCTTCTTTCTCTGTGCAATCAGTGGGTTTATCTGGTAACTGCGTCCTGCTGCTGGAGTGGGTTGACACTGAGACTACAGGGCGGCAACCATCCAATTCTCATATTAACCAAGTGCTCTACCAATTATTCTGATTAATTGAGTAACTGGATAAGAAATACTGTTGCTTCATTAAAGAGCAATAGTGAATATACAAAAGAGAGAATAGACAGTTTCAGTGGTTCCTCTGGGATTTCTTTCAGCAGTGGAGGGAAAAGCTTCCGTCTAACCTTCACTGTACTTGTAGAGGAGTGTTTTCCAAGTGTGGTATCAGTGCTTTGTTTAAGTAAAGGATCTGAACCCCCTTCAACCAAGGCCCACCTGCAGCTGTGTGTTAGCGGAGGAGTCTGGTGGGTTTGTTATTAATTGTGCAGATATGTTCAGGTTGCAGTATAATCTTTACAGAAAGGCTTTGTGTTTGCTGTCATAGAAAGGAAACACAAACGGTGACCAGCTAGCTTTTCCCAGTGAAACCAGGCTGGTTCAGTTTTACAACAGACATTATAATAACTAACTAATAGTTTTTGTTTCAGCTTAAAATGACCTAAGGATCAGCACGCATTGGCAGTCGAGTTACTGAACCATATTACATTTATGTTCTAAAACCAAAAGCAATGAGCTGAAAGAGGCAAAAAGCTCGATTGAACCACCCCTCTGACTTCATGATATGATTCATCTGATATTGAAAATAAATATTAAAGTAAAGACTTTTAAGAAACAGCACATTCTTCTTAAAGTTGAATTCATAACCAATAAAACACACAGAATCTGCTGTTATCCTTATTGGGTCTGCTGTGACCAATAGCTGGTGGATAATGGATCAATATTGCTGTGTAAGAGGCGTTACTAAGTTACCAGGGATAGGCTGATTAATTGGGATGATTATCTGGCATTATGAGATAATAAGCATCAGCTGATGAGCCAAAATTGACTATAGAACAGAATTGAACGTGACTTTTCTTTGTTTTGATATCAGCATTATATTTTGGCAGCCCTGCTCTCTAAATATCAGCATCAGCCTTCAAATCAGTCGACCATCACTCTCCACTCTATCTTTACACAGTGTTTGAGCATTGTCCCCGTCACAGTTACCTTCAGCTGCTGTTCATCAAAAGTTACATTGTTCCACTTTAATGCAGCTTTAAAGCAAAAGAAACAAACACTTTTCATTTTTTGAGGTGAGTGTGGCTTTAAAAGAGTCGGTAGAGTATTATGTCTGTGTTTGATATAATAGAAACCGGGATGAAGGAGAGAAAGCTGGATTTGGAGGGATTTGATACTAAACCGGAATTGTCTTTTTCTTCCACCACACTTTCTCAGAAGAATCATCGACCGTGTGTTTGGAGACTTTTTATATTGTACTGGTCATGAGAGGCTTTCTCAAAATGGCCGCACGTACCTGCCCATCATAATGACAGTGATGAAGATGATGGTGATTGTGATGTAAAGGAGGACAACAGCAACAGTAAAAAGTCATAGGGGTGATGAATATGAACAACAAAGATTGAGAGAAACATCCATGTTGCGGATTAAACAGCAAAGTTGATGGTTTTACGAGATGAAAGTGTGTTTCCTAAACCTCTCCGGGCTTTTTCCTCCCCCCTCCCAGGAGGAGAGGAGCTCGGGGAGAAAGGCCGGTCTCTGGGGTGTTGTAAACACTACATTACACCCGAGAAATGGGCTAAATGAGCCTGCAATGCTGCACTTATAAGAGCCGTGTGTGTGTCTGTACACTGTGTAGGCGGGTGTGAATTCACGGCTGTTACTAGTAGTTTTCAGCTTTGTCCTGATTTGCCATCCTTACTGAGAGACGCGCACGCATCCTGCACTTCATATTCACGTCTATCTTTGCGATCGCCGCCCGCTGCGCGTCAGAAACATTTTTGCTTTTCTGATGGACAGCCTCATTGTCTTACAGTCCTTCCTCGCGCTCTCCCTCTTTATTCATCCGTCTCCCTCTGTCCCCAGTTTTTTTTTTCACCTCCCTCCTCTCCAGCCTTTGTCTTTCTCGCCCGCCCACACACACTTTACCGTGCACTCAGTGCAAGCTGCAGCTGTAAATAAGAGGAGTTGTCATTGAGCATTTGATGAGGGTATTGTGCCGTTTGTATGCAGCGAGCCAGGGACAAACTACATCTGTTGAACAGTTTGAAGTTCTGAGCAGCAGCGACGTGTTGGACAGCTGGCTCAGCTGAACTCAATCAATCCACCTTTCTGAATAGCCGTGCTTTTCAAGCCGCACATAGAATCTGGTGTAGTTATAAACTTCTGTTCCTGCTTGTTATTGTCCTTCATCATCCAGTGAACAATCGTTTATGATTTAACACAGTAAAATCTGAAGGAATTACTTCAGTGTTTGGTGCCACTTGGTGCCACTGTTCTGTATTATCAAGAAAAACCCCTGGAAAATGTCCTGGAGAGGTCCTGGAAAAGGATTTCTGGAAAAAGAGTGTAGCTCCAGGCATAGGCCACATTTTAGTTCGAACATAACGAACATTTAACTCAGACTGATGAGCTGTTTCCGCTCTGTAACACATCGCTACACACACAAAGTTTAAATTCACATACCGTTTTCTGTTGAGCTTTTAACTGGCGCTCTTTTAATTGCGCCCTCTTGCTGCTTATCTCAATGAACCATCTCCTAATAATCACACAACGGTAGTGGATGGAGACATTCATTCACATCCTCATTTGCCAAGAAGAAGATATTTTGTTAAAATTTGCAACGGAAACATGACAACCGAATGCATCCCTCCTCCTCCCCGCCTGGTTTTAAACTCGTCCAAATGAATTGAAAAGTTAAATAAATGGATTCAGAAGCGATTATTGAAGCAAAGTAGGCCACTCTAAGAGGCAACAGCAGGCTGCTGGTGTAAATATGGGGAAGTAGAAGCCAACCATTCCCATCAGGAGATGTCCAGTCCTGCAGCAATGTTGGACAGAAAAAAAGTAAAGTTATGGATTTTTCAGTGTAAACTTCATTTAGCTACTCTGGAATTTACAGCAGTTATTAACAAAAGACAAGCAGAGCAATGAAACTGACTGTGAACACACACCTGAAGCTGCTGATACAGCCTTTATTCGGCTCATACTGACACTGAGAACAGTGCATAAATTGGTGCATGAGTGACTTTTGCATGTCTCTTGGTCTACTTGGTGGTGCTGAGTCACTTACAGCACCTTTTCACCATAATGTCACTGGTTTTAAGATCAGCCTCATCTGCATAAAGCCCTGCGAAAAGAGTAGAAAGGGTGAGAAGAAAAAGAGGACGAGTTGTATAATACTGCAGCAGGAGACAGGACGTCAGGCAGCGAAGGTGGAGAGACTCGAGACGCTGATAGGAGAGAGGAAGCAAGACAAAAAGAGATATAGGATGAAGATGAAAACATAAGAGAGACACGCACATGCAAAGATAAAGGAAGGCAAAGAAAGAGATTAACTTATATTTGACAGCAGGAAAGAGGTTAGTCCACAGTGACTGATAGGAGTGTTACTCCTTCCCTCGCTTATGTCCTCTTGTCTCTGTGATGTGAGTCATACCTTCTGCAAGCCCAACCTAACAGGATTAAACCAAATAGCAAGCAGTTCTATGTGTAACTGTAACTGCATCAGGGCTGTTTACCCAAACAGAAAACTGCTAAGAATTGCTTTTAGACTGATGTCCTTTGTAATGGAAATACATTAGTTATAACCATCTTAACCATCATTATATATATATATATATATATATATATATATATATATATATATATATATATATATATATATATGAGATTTTAATTATGAATATATCAGCTAACAGCTATTCTCTATATACAGACACGGAGTCACATGGTGTCTCACTCCCTCAGCCTGTGTTTGCTGTTTTTATCATCTACGTCGGTGAATTAAGGATTTATTTCCACCAAACCAGAGTTGGTGATTGTTGGAAACACTAACAGAGATGGATTTGGTGATTGAAGTAGGGTGGCCAAAGCCGGATTGTTTAAAAGCCGGACTCTCATTTGTCCTCCTTTTGAGAAAATAACAAAAAAGGTCGCCTTTTGACACATTACCTCGTTAGTTTAATACTTATTGGCTAAAAATGTGTTTTAAAAAAGCTGTGTCAAAATAAGTAATTACATTGGTTACATTTTCGTGTTGTGACCTATTAACACATGGCTAATTTTAATATTCAAATGAGCCATGTGTTGATTGCCACAACAGGCTCACCACAGTTGCTAACCCCAGGCTGTCAATCAAGCTCTCAGCGACAGAGAACTTAACGTTAGCTAACGTCGGTTGTTGGCCTGAAATTCTGAAAATGCGTAATGGGCAAAAGAACACAGGTTTGTGTCAAAAAGTAGCCTTCTGTGGCCTGCCTCAACCAGCCTCTGACCGGCCTCAACCAGCCTCTGACCGGCCTCAACCAGCCTCTGATCTGCCTCAACCAGCCTCTGACCGGCCTCAACCAGCCTCCTGACCGGCCTCAACCAGCCTCTGACCTGCCTCAACCAGCCTCTGACCGGCCTCAACCAGCCTCTGATCTGCCTCAACCAGCCTCTGACCTGCCTCAACCAGCCTCTGACCGGCCTCAACCAGCCTCTGATCTGCCTCAACCAGCCTCTGATCTGCCTCAACCAGCCTCTGACCGGCCTCAACCAGCCTCTGACCGGCCTCAACCAGCCTCTGACCTGCCTCAACCAGCCTCTGACCGGCCTCAACCAGCCTCTGATCTGCCTCAACCAGCCTCTGACCGGCCTCAACCAGCCTCCTGACCTGCCTCAACCAGCCTCTGACCTGCCTCAACCAGCCTCTGATCTGCCTCAACCAGCCTCTGACCGGCCTCAGTGAAGCAACTTGAGGACTCACAGTCACAGATGGACTCAGATACTCATATGTATAGGCAAAGTATGAAACAGAAGGTGCTGTATTTTTTCCCCTTTATCTATCCAGATAAAAACATTAAGAACAGTTTCTGTATGATGTTTATTAGACCTATGTAATCTGAATTGGAAGGCCAATTCGTTGTCATGAGCTGTATCTTGTATATTTATTATTAGCTATGTGGTATGTGTATGCACCTTTATGTAATCTGGTGGAAAAACATTAAAATTTAAAACCGGATCATACCAAACAAATATCTGCTTGCGTGTCCCTGTGTATGTAAAGTGTCCTCCTTTTTGATGTGAAGGAAATGGCCACCCTGGTTGGAAGTGTGTTTTACGATTACCTCCTACGTAAAATAACGGTAATGTTTTTGTCAATAGAGTCTGGTCAGCTGTAGCACCGGCATTGTTTTGGCCTGAGATGCTAGTGCAACATTTAGTGGCATGCGAATTTTTGTATATGTAACCTTGAGACAAATCACAGATTCAAATACAAACTTAATGATTTGCTTTGTTATATAAAAAAAAATCATGACGGGTAGACTTGAACAGTGTCGTTTTAGTTTTGTACATTTTTAGCTGAAGTCACTCGTTGGTTGTTTTTAAGAATAAATCCTTTACTGTACTCATCAGTGTGGGACACAGCTACAAAAACTGTGCAAAACAACAGCATCACTTTGTATTTAACAGAAATGCTGGGTGAGTCATGCAGCACGGTTCATTTTAGTTCTTTATGTTTTGTGTCTTTGTGCTTTATTAAGGTTTATGTCAAACAGGAGACATCAGGGTTAAAAGCTCCGGTTGTCACAAGCACAAAAAACAGCATTACCTTAATGGAAAACTATTGTCCAGGACACATAACAGTTAACGAACCCTGCAGATCACTTTTAAAATGTGCCAGAAACTAACACACAGTTCTTTCAGTGGGTTGCCGCTGTAGATGAGAGTCGGGCAGCGCGGCGGAGCCTCATAACACGACACAATGAGCAGGACGGAAGTGCAGTTCTAATTAAAAATGAATATCAGGCAGGACTCTGTCTGTTGCTCTCTGTAAGCTCTGTGGGTGCAGCGCAGAAGGACACGGAGCGCAGATTACGTTTGATCACTGTGGTAACACAGGAAGAGGAAATAATTTCACACTGAGATGTAAATTTAATTATGCTATGTGCCTGCAGCTAGTACAGATCATCCTGGTGCAGCACCACAATGTTCATCACGGATCATACAGTAATTGTTTGTATTTAAAAAACACTAATAGGGATTTTCTTGCCAGAACTTTGCATTAAAATATCGAATTACTTAAAACATGGAAACACACAAAAGAGCAGCAAGGCAGCTCAGTGGTTAGCATGTCGCCTCACATCAGAAAGGTCCTGGGAGCATGCAGGTGAAGTGGAAACTGAAGTGCCTGAAGGTGTGAGGATCAAAGTGTCTACGAGGCGGTGACCCCACCTCCCGCCTAATGCATGCTGGCTGTGGCCCCTGGGACCATATGTATGGATATGAATAAAATGTACTTCATATTTTCTAGATATTTAAAGGTTATATACAAAATGAACTTAGAAGTCGCTCTAAAACATCAGATTCTCAGACCAAAACAATGGGCGCTACGGCCGACCAGACTACATGGATAAAAACAGTCATTTTACCTAGCAGGTAATTGTAAAGAAAAAACACACAACACCAAGTTAGATGAGAAAATGTCCTCAAAACAGGCTGCTACACTATGTTTGCTAATCATTGGGGTCAAAGTGCGTCCACTAACAGTTGTAGTTGTTTGTTCCACTAACAGTAGTTGTTGTTTGTTCCACTGACAGACTCAGGTTGTTGTTGTCAGTGTCTGACAGCATTATGGAAAGGATCCCTACAGAGATAGACCTTTAGTTTAACCACAAACAGCCGTAATATCACTATCACTCTCCACCAGACTCCAGAGACAGAAACACTCATTTTACCTTCAGATCATCAGAACTTCATTAAAGTGAACAGAAACAGAATAAAACTCATTAAAAGCGTCTCTGTTAGTGTTTCCAACAATCACCAACTCTGGTTTGGTGGAAATAAATCCTTAATTCACCGACGTAGATGATAAAAACAGCAGTTTCAGTCGGAGCAGACCGGCTATGGAAACAAACCACAGAGAGGCTGCGATACAACACAGGCAGAGGGAGAGAGACACCATGTGACTCTGTATCTGTATATAGAGAATACCGGTTTGCTGCTATATAAATGTTTAACGTTTCATATATTTAACCTTTAATTAAGCAGTTATACAAAAAATGTGATACAAAAGGATAAAGTATTTTATGTTATAGTGGAAACAAGCTGTAAACACTCTGATATTATCGCCGTATGAAGCTGATCTAGTGACAGCCTGCAGATTCTGAGCAACATTATGATTCATTTGGAGTCTTGTTTCTTTCTGTCCTGTGAATCTGAGTCCAGTATTCACTCTCCTTTTGCTCTGTTCTGATCTCCTTTTTCACTTTTCAGCTGCTAAATGTTCCACTTTCTCCACCAGCTGTGTGTTTGCTGCCTGGTGCTGAGCAGGTAGAGTACAGTGGGTTCGTCACTGTGAACGACACCTTTCACATCATCTGATCCATTGTAAACTATTGATTGAAGCACCTTTAAATGTTTGAGTTTTGGAAGATCAGGCAGAAGGCGCAGTGATGATAACTCTGTAAGCTCCTGTATGATTAACAGCGTGTCCCGGCTGAACTTCGAAGCGCAGTATAAAAGAATAGAAGATGACAGCTGTCTGAATGCTAACACAATAGAAGTACTTCCCACGTCCTTCCATCCATCTCTCAGTCCTCCTCCTCTCTTTTGCTCCATCCATCCGTCAAATCTCCATCGATCTGTTGACAAATCTGCTCACCCGTCTGTCCATCACTCCGCACTGAGCACGTACTTCGCAGGAGCCGCTGCAATCGAGCCTTTTGCTGCATCCTGAAATATTTTACCTCAAAGCGATGCTGCGATGATCGCGGCCGCCGTGCTGGTCTGATGTTCCTTCGTGTATTCTACAGAGGTTGCCTGTCAGTCAAACAGCGATGTCTTGATGAGGTCTTCAGTGTAATATAGTTATTTTCAAGACAACCTTTAATCTGCAGTTCAGTAACCAGTGGTGGAAAGAGTAAAGTGGAAGTACTCTTACATTACTGAAGTATTACTCAACTACACTGGTGTAAAATAATACCTATAATACAAAGTATTCTCCTAGAGAGTATCGGTTACTTTTGATTGTTATGTTGATATTTAATGCGTTGTCAATAGCAGGCATTCAGTGGAAATGATAAAAGGTATGAATGGATCAAACAAATATACAGATAAAGCAGGAATTGTGGCCTTTAAAAGGTACTAAAATGTGTTTGTTTGCATTGGGAGAAATGTATACTAATTACATTGCAGGTTCAAACAGCCAGAGTCGAATCTGTGCCCATTTGGTGTCAGTTTAATGAGAAATACAAAAAGGTAAAAGATAATAATAGAAGCCAGTTGCTTAGAAATAAGCAGGAATTAGTAAAATGTACTGAAGTTTTTGTGCAGTTAAAGAGAACTGAACATGATGTAACAGCAGCTTTCAGTGAACTTCAGTCAACAATAGAATAACAAAATATGTAAAGAACATTCATTTGAAACTCTCAGTGAGTCACTTTTACGCCTCACAACAATAAATGTAGTGAGACGTTTCTGAGTCACCCTGGTGCAGAGACAAGCTGCCACAATAACACAGCGAACACGTGGTCTCCGCTGCTCGGCGTTTGAGTCGACAAATACTGCACGCATTGATCGTTATTCCCTGTGAGTGTGAAGGCAGCACGGCACAAAGCTGCAGGTGTGGAGGAGGAGGTTTTATTTGAACTGAGTCCAATGACTTGACAGAAGTTGTGAGCTGTGCAGACTCTGATGTATACCTGAGGGCGTTTATGAATTATTGACAGTGCACTGAAGGTGAAGCTTTCCTGTTGTTGGACAACAACTGTCTGCCCTTGTTACATGTTAATGAAACCGGCCCAAACTCCATTTTTAGACACTGATTCCCAAAAATATACCAAATCTGAAATTTGTTGTTCTTCACATAAAAATATCACAATGATTTTTATGACCAAATTTGTTTTTTGTGACAAAAAGTGTGGTCTTCATTCAGACCTCTATTCCAAGAATTACACCCGTATCAGTATTCAGCCCCTCATGAGTTACAGTGCCAGAAGTAGCGTGTCCGATATGTAGGAGTAAAGATTTATGCTTGACACAACGGGGGGGTTAATGGTCCCACTGTGAATTCCCACAGCAGAGGTTTTGATTTATAGTTCAGTGTAAGACTTCATATCACCACCACAACACTAGACACAGTACTGTACAAGATCATATTTTTGTTTATGTGTGACACAGAGCGACGCACTTGTAGAACTGAAGAGGAGACTACACTGCAGTCACCATGTTTACCTTCAATCATTCTTACAGATGAAGGTGAGCCGAAGACCTGCAGTGTTTGGCTTCACTCTCAACAGTCTGTGCTGCCATCAGAAACCTGTAGGAGAAACAGTTCTTATGTTCCCCACGTGGTATTTCTGTAGTCAGTGGTGGACTGAAGAAATAAAAAATAAACATGATGCATTTACGGTGAAATCAGGTTTAAGAGTAGTACCTTAGAAAGAACTTCATTGCATTTGAAAAAGGCATCCCTGAAGACATTTTATCAGGTTTTATCTACCATAGGGCCGTCCAAGAGGGCATTTTATCGAACATTATTCCTGAATCCAGCAGTATCTGTAGCTGTTTACACTGGAATAAATGCACAAATATAGGCTACGGTAGTATCCAACGTGGTGATACGATTACAGAAATTGATTACCTTTTATGTGATAT